ACAGTGCATGTTTGTAATCAATTACAGTAATTTTATCATCTTTATCACCACAGCCGCATGTTAGTAAAATGATAAAAGAAGATGCTTCAATCCCGGTTTGTGGGCGTTACATCAGTTTTATTTTGTACATTGACATAAAGGATATCCATGTGTGTGTATCCGCTGTGTGTGTGAATTTTGTTAGACATTACAAATACATCAAATAATCATTGGAAAAGTTCTTACTGTAGTATTTCTCACAAATGTTATGTAGGATCTGCTTTCTTCATGTCTGTCATTGTGCTGTTTATCTGACGCAGCCAAGGCGGAGATTGAGGTACAATTTGAAAGGCACTTGGGAACAATGGGCGGGGAGAACTAGCATTAAAGGCACAGGCAACAAAAACAGCTACAATCTGTTCAGAGCATAAAAATCCAACATTCTAAAAGCTGTAATAAATAATCTAATAGGTGTTTTGAGCTGAAACTTTACAGACACATTCTGAAGACATAACAGACTTCTCTTAAATCTTGAAAAAGGGGTAAAATAGGCGCTCTTTAAACACTCTGCACATAAGAAATGATCAAATTTCTAGTTTCAACAAAGATTAATTGTTTATGTATACAATGAAGGCAGTAGTCAACATTGGAAGTGTATGAAAAAAATAGCAAAATAAGAATGGGTGTTGTTGAGTAGCTTTAGGACATCTTTGGTTTTGATCCACTTCAGTTGTTGACTATACTGTATACATTGTTATTTTACATTTGATTATTCTATTGCTGTACCTTAACCCTGTTAGACTGTTCAGAAAACAATATAGAACTGTCTATTTCATTTGTACAGTATGTTTGTTCTAATGTATTCATTTATGCTTGTAATTTATTTTATGTGTTGGCGTGGGTTTCCTCCGGGTGCTCCAGTTTCCCCCACAAGTCCAAAGATGTGGTATAGTTGAATTGGTTATGCTAAATTGTCCGTAGTGTATGTATGTTTTCCAGTACTGGGTTGCAGCTGGAAGGGCATCCGATGCGTAAAATGCTGGATGAGTTGGAGGTTTCTGAATACATTTTATTATATGCACGTCCGATCAATATAAGAGTTCTTCTCAAATATAGTTATTTAAATCCTCTCAGAGAATTATATTCAAATCAAAAATACAAATATCGCAGTGTAAGTTTCAGTTTTCGACAGTATTGTGCAGCCCTATTGCAAATCTATATTTAGTTGTGTGTAAAAGTGTTTGCCCCCTACTGATTTCTTTTCTGCATGTTTGTCACTTTTTTATCACATGTAGTTTGTTTTCCCTTAAAATTAAAAACTTTAATTTCCATATCTGATATGTCTAATTAGTCTAATATTTGTCTAATATTTATATTAGTTTGATGATCTGATACATTAAAGTGTGACAAACATACAAAAAATAAATAAAATTGAAATCAGTAAGGGAGCAAACACAACTCTGTATATATATTCACTAAAATAATTTAGGATCAAATATTGTTTATTTCATTTGGCCAAAGTGTATTCCTGTAGGAATATTTGGTGTGAAAACAGTAATCATATATCTACCATAGCACTTTTGACAATTCCTAATAAAAAATGTTGAAAAATCATAGCTTACAAATCAGGAACTGTTTCCACTGGATCATATAGAAGTTTGTTGAAGGTTAGCACTAGACCTCAGTCTAGATAAGCAGAGCTGGTGTCTCTTTACTGGTGCAAAGGTCACAATTTTATTTGATTTTGTCAGGGTTAAACTGTAGAGAAAAAAAAAAAAAAACAGTTTTCATTACACTTGTTCATTTAGATTTTTTAAATTTGATTTTTTTTGTTTTTTTTTTGTTTTTAGTGTAAGGTCAGTAACGCTTCCAAAATGTACTTTTGGAATGTTGTCTTTTAATTGAATGACTACTGTATATCTTCCTTTTTCTGTGTTTTCTCAAAATTCTGTTTTCCTCATCATCGCAGCCATAACTCCTATTCTAAACATTATTTCAATATTTTCCTAATTATGTGATGGGATTTAACAAAATCCCCTCAATATAAACCTCTACTCTAATATGTCAAAACCATTTAATGAGAATTTTGACTTTTGTGCCAATAAATGTGCAAATAATTCATAATAAATATAATATCTATCATTTTAGAACACACAAAAGAAAATGCCGGACGTTCTTACTATAATTAATCAACAGGTCACTGATAGTAGGGCCAGACAGAATCTGCAGACATTTTTTGCTATTTCTGCGGACAAGTTTGTAAAAAATCAGCAAATCTATGCAGAATTATTTTGGGAGTATCATAACTAAAAGCTTAATATATGAAATCAAAAATAATAGCTTTTTAACTCTATAATGTTTCCAATGCAAATCCAATTAAATCCACTTATTTATTAAACAAAGCAACTCTCTTATGATAAATACTACAAGACAGAAAAACTTGCTTACTACAAACTTTACTGTAAATAAATTATAGGAACATTTTCATATTAGTCAATATTATTACTGAAATTAATTTAAAAACATATAAATTTACACACATTTACACAAGGAAATAAATAGATTTAATGATGGGCTAAACATCTGCGAATTTTTGCATGTGCAGATCCCGTGTGGGCCTAGCTATTAGTTATATAAATTTGTCTATTTTGTGTCTTTCCTCAAATTTAAGTGTGAAGTCTTTAGGCACATTTGCTTTTGTTATTCTAATTACTGAGTTTGCTCTGTCATATTACTGAATCTATCAGAATCTTCAGACAGTCATATCACACATTCAAGCTCTGATACATTAATAACGAGTAGTTTAAAGCACACAATGAGGTCGAGTAACAGTAAATCAGCAGAGTGTTTCTTTGGTTTATCTGTCTGCACATCCAGACTCTGCCTGATCATCAACATTATTAGTCTGAGCGCTTGAATAAAACATGAAGCTGCAGCTGACCAAGGGATATTTGGATGTAGAAATTATATCCGCAAGAGACCACTGGTCTTTGTGAAGATCAGCTCTTATTAGAGGCGTACAGTCACGTTTACTTCATCCTTACCTGGGATTCCTAACAAACAACCACCTTTTATATGTTATTGCTATCACATGATGGTTGGTTTATGGGTTTCAGTGACTTGAGCACATTTTCAGCTCTCTGCTCTCGACTCTTCTGCCTTTGATCGCTCATTAATCAGATATTACACAGAAGGCAATTATAAATGTAAGTTAATATTTAGGGATTGCCATTAATCTGCCTGCTATTGCCAAAGCAGATGAAAGAGAGTTTTACTCATGACTCAAGCTGTCTGCATGAGGAATGAATTCACATGTAACTTAACTGTGTCACAGTGCAATGCTCAACTGTCTGTCTGTCTGTCTGTCTATCTGTCTGTCTATCTGTCTGGAAAAGAACAGACCACTTTAAAACGATCAGTTTCTCTGGGTTTACAATTTTCAGTAAAGGTTATTATTTGTTTAACTTTCTGAAATACTGATATAATTTCATCAAATCTTTAAAAGGTGGCATTTTTGATATTTCAAGAGATGACATTACCAATATTTTGACATTCAAAGCAATAAAAAAAAAAAACATTATTTGGTACAAATAGGCCAATTTTCAGTTACAACAAATTTAGGTCCCACTTTATATTAAGTGTCCTTAACTACTATGTACTTGCATCAAAAAAATAAATACAATGTACTTACTGTGTTTATAATGTATTTGAGAACACTTGTGGTGCTTTTGAGTTGGGATAGAGGTTGGGTTATGGACAGGTTTGGTGGCATGGGTAGGATGAAGGGTGGGTTAAGGTGTAAGGGATGGTCAACAGTGTATTTACAAATGTAATTACAAAAGTTAATTACAGGTGTAATTACATAAATGTATTTATCAAGCATAAGTACAGTTAATACATGTATTTATACAATAAGTACATAGTAACAAACTATCAATTCCTATGTAAGTACATATTAGTTAAGGCCACTTAATATAAAGTGGGACCCAAATTTAAATATTAGTTTTATTTTCTGGGTGTTTTAAATGGCATTTTTGTTTTTATATCAAATTTGTTACAAATTTAAACAGACTTTTATAGGGAAAAACAATTATTGACATTTTACTCAACCATTTCTAGTAAATCTAGTCAAAACAGCAATTTAGACTTAAAATGATCGGTTTCTCTGAGTTTACACTTGAAAGTTATTGCAGTAAAAGTTAATATTTGTTTTATTTTAAAAACTACTGATGACATTTCTGGCGAGGCAGTGGTGCAGTAGGTAGTGCTGTCGCCTCACAGCAAGAAGGTCGCTGGTTTGAACCTTGGCTCAGTTGGCGTTTCTGTGTGGCATGTTCTCCCTGCCTTCGCGTGGGTTTCCTCTGGGTGCTCCGGTTTCCCCCACAGTCCAAAGACATGCGGTACAGGTGATTTGGGTAGGCTAAATTTTCCGTAGTGTATGGATGTTTCCCAGAGATGGGTTGCGGCTGGAAAGGCATCCGCTGCATAAAAACTTGCTGGATAAGTTGGCGGTTCATTCCGCTGTGGCCACCCCGGATCAATAAAGGGACGAAGCCGACAAGAAAATGAATGAATGATGACATTTCTTCCAATTAAGACATCACATATATTGACATTCAAATAATGTAAAAAATCATTATATGCTACTATAACACCAATTTTTAATCACAGCCAATTTGTTATTGGGGGAAATATTCTTAATAGCTATTTGTTTTGTTTAAAAAAATTGTTAGCGATTTAAACAGAACTATATAAGAAAAAAACAATGATTAACATTTTACTCAAATCATATCTAGTCATAACAGCAGTTCAGAGCTATCAGATGTTTTACAGCAGGTTAGGCATTGTTAACTAAAACATAGGGTGGGCTAGTCAACTAAAAGCATGAAACACTAAATAGCTCAGACTAAAATAAAACTGTAAAACTATACAGATGTATTTTATATAGAAGTAAACTTAAGAAGCTCTACCTACTTCATAATTTGATCTGTTCTGAAAGAAATTTAAAAAATGGTCAAAAATAAGTCATTGGATCATTTATTTCCTTTTAAGTACAAACAGTTCTCATAAATATTTCCCTTGGGACCTGTAACCAAATGAGCAAATCATTGCTTTATTTTGAAAAATATGCAGGTAAACACTCATTTACATAAATACAGACATTTACAGATTTTCTGTGCTGTGCTGCCATTTTATTCATTTATATTTACAATTTATTCAATTCATGTATGACATAATGGCTGAAAACGCAGAGGTCAAATGGCATTTATAAAACAATCAGACATAAAAAAAAAATCATATTTCAGTTTTCATTGCAAATGACATGATTGCCAACAGAAACATTCTTTTATTATTATTATTATTATGATATTCATGTACAGGAAAAAGAGACGGAATAAATAAATAAAAAATCTTACAGTGTATAGCTGGCTACAGTATAAACCACCTGACATCACACGTGGTTTCTTTGCGGTGGTACAGTGATATGCATATGTAAACATTTTCATTTTGCAAAAGTTATACTGGTTTTTCTTCTCCACTTTAGGGACATACTTGAATAGTGCTTGTAAAAATGAATAATTAATAAATAATTCAATAAAGATATCAACAGCTCTATGAATCTGGCCTATCGTCATAAGTTCATAATTTCATTGTGCTCCACAACAGTAACCTTGTTAAGGCCTTTAATAGATTAAAACACAATGTTTCACAACGCACAGCGTTGTATTAATATTCTTTTTTAAACCCCTAGCTTTTACTCTTCTCATCAGACTAGGAGTAGTAGAGTTGTTACAAACTCAGTTAATAAATTTGTCCGATTGACTTATACTTCTATTAGTGGTTGTGGTTAATCGGTCATCAGGATTTTAGCAAGTGCTTGATATCACGACACCAGTTTTTTGTATGATATACCAAAAACAACAGTTGTCTCCGCCAATCAACATTTATGATGTCTCTACATTTAAATCATACACATCCTATGAAGGAAGCATGGCAATTTGATCAGAAGTAAATCTTCTCTGAAGGCCAGATGGTGATGTTGCGTGAATAAACCGAAAACCCACAAAATAGGGCTGCAAGACAAATGATATTATATCAAATCTTGATAAACTTTAAAAACAATGAGAAGCTCTGGACTTTTTTTTACTCTATATTGATCTAAGAGCCAATCACACAGCAGGAATGTGCAACAATGGGAATCTCAAAGTGTGTTAATATTAGCGATGTACCAAATTTTGGACCACCAACAATTTATCAACTGAAAATGTTATGCCATTTATTGGACCCACTTATCTTTGAAACCCAGGAAGTTTATAAATAAACAGAACATTTGACTACTGTCATTCGACTGCAGAATCATCCCACATGATCTTTTTCAAACACTCACCTGAAGTTGTAAGTGAGCTTGTAGTAAATATGTCATAAAATGTGGTATTTTCAAGCGCTTTCAGAGAATATGCACAGTCATAGTGTCATATGTCACTGAGGAGCGAGGCAAACAGCTGTCATTATCACAGAAAGATTATCTTGACTTTATTATACCATTAAAACCATTTTGATTTTGAACTCAATTTTGCCTAGCTTATCAGAGAACTACAGCTCCGTATCCTTAATACTGCTCCATCTGAGATCATGTGCTGGACTTACTCTAGAAATGCAGCTTTTAGATCTAGTTCTACCAGGAAGACCTAATGTAATGTCACGTCACTCATCACAATCAGATCTAACCAACAGTCATGAGACGCAGGGAATATACTGTATACTGTAAGCAGTTCATTCATTTGGTTGCAGATACTGACACAGACGTTCATCCACCAGCACCAGGTTGGCCCACTCTAAGGGGTTAGGCTCCGCCCCAGCCATAATGTAGGCTAACCATGTTCCGTATACAATGATCTTCTGTAGAGATTACCCTTTAATGCCAATCTCTGAATAAATTCTTACAGGTCAGAGACAAGCGATATATCTGTGTAATCTTTATTTCTTACTCTTTCACCCCCGAGCACAACAGAGACCCTCCTACCATATGTTTCCAAGAAAATTCAGTAAGTTTGTTACGTCCACCTTATGTGCTTGAAAATAGACAGTGGGCAAGCTAAAGCCTCATTCACACTAGGAGCGACTCTCAGTGGCAAAGTGACCGTTCATTTCAACAAAGAACAGGTGACTTCCAGCAACCTCCGTCTACATGAGTGACAGCAACCGTTTGGCGACCAGATGGGCGTGTCGAGCGATGCACCAAAGTTGAGAATCCTTCAACTTTATGCAAATGAAAAGCAACTTTCTTGAGTGACAGCCAATAGGAACACCAGTAGAGCTTACGTGATCCTCTCTCAGCTCGCTCAGAGGACGATTGTATTCAGGCTGTATAGACCTACACAGACTTGCGTTTGCAGCAGGTCGCCTCCCAGAGCGAACGGCAGCCACAAAGTTGCTGCTAGTGTAAAAGAGGCATAAAGAGGCGAGTGTCACTTTGGAAGGGAGACATGTAGAGCATCAACAATATGCATTTGCATTTAATTCATGCACCACACAATATTACAGGCTTTATGAAATGAATATTATTATCACTAATTGTTAAATAAATGATCGTTTGTTGAATAAATTCTTTGAAATGGGCATATTTAAATGGCAGTTATGGGGGATTATCACATGGCGCAACTCTGTCTGTGTCAGTAAAGTAAGTGTTAATTTGCATAAATTTAATGTTTTAGTATTTTAAATGGTCATGCTGTAATAAAGTAAAAATAGACACTATATAAAATTAAATGATTGTAAAGTTATATTACTTCAAACTTTCATAAAAAGTGATTAATTATAACGTTCACTTCAAGTTAAACACAATAATAGTATATTCTGACATGGTTTTAATAAGACATGGAAGAATGTCTATTTTTGCCGGTGAATGGTAGCTTTGCTGTTAACACTGTTAATATCATCTTCCACAGTACTTTTCCCATCTTTTCTCAAAAACTACTTGTCCAAAAGACATCAATCAAAAATTGGATTGTGCAATAGGTCTTCACACAGACAATGATGACACAAACATTCTTATCTGGCTTTCAATGACGGAGGAGTGGTCGCTTGAGTGCGCTAAATAGTGGGACATGGTTAGTTTACGATAGTCCTAGTCATAGCTAGATCTACAAGCTTAGAATTCAAACTTTGGACAGGGGCTCCGCTAAAGAAATCCTATGTTTTATTAAATAATACTTTGTCAGATAATACTCTCATCAAATAAAAGTAACTCAATATCACATTTATCTCCCTGGTCTTTCTGGTAGAACCGGCTTAACTGACAACCTGCACATGAAAATCGCCTTCAATTGACGACCCTTTAATCTGAGGTTTTTCATTTTCATATTATTTTCCACTAATCTGCTTTTATGGCTTTATTATAGTGAAGATAGTTTGCTTTAAAGCTTTGTATTTTCACATTTTGGAATTAAGGTGACAGGCTGAGCTAGTCATGGTGCTGACAACTCATTGGTTGAGGCTTAGTTGTTTTTGGGTACATCATATAAAATATCGGCCTCAGGACATGAACCGCTTGGTAAAACCTTGATTAATGGTAGTCTGTTCACTACCTCTTGCCGATCTCGTTTTGTCGTAGAAACTGCATGTTGTTGACGCTGTCTGCTAGTTCAGGATACTGCTCTACCGACAGCACGTAGTATCCATCATAGCCTTGAACTCGTCCACTGGTAAGAAGCTGCCTTTTTTCCCCTTCAGTCCAGAGTCTGGATCCCTCCTCTCCATTTCGAACTCGTTGCTGTTCACGTGTCCATGAAATGGCGAGTGCCCTCTGCCGGGCGAGCTCTAAAACACGCACCCGCTCTTCATCTAGCGATGCCCCATAACGCACATGTAAGGTTAGTGACCCACGCTGAAACTCCACATCCGCAAATCGCCGTGTTCGGCCTCCGAGCACAGCTGTAGACTGTGAAACGGTCACATTCACTGCGTTCTCTAGCTCTTTCCGTCCACTGGTGAGCCGCAGCGCCGCTAGATCTGCTTCAGGAGAGTTCATTTTAACAAAAAAGTGTGTGTCTCTTCCGTCCACAATAAAGTGCAAGTCTTTCAAGTAAAGGGCGCCGTTGAGGATGTTGGCAACCTTGACGCAATCCTCATTAGCCAGGCTTAGAGCACGGGTTATCACGATGCCCTTGTAAAGTGCCAGCATGATCCCACGACCTATCAGCGAATCGCTCAAGGCAAACCACAGCCAGGGTTTGGAGGAACAGTGGCTGTGGCCGAACTCCACCTGAGGCAGATCACCAAACCGTAAAAATGCTTTCGCTTGCCGGATGACATGCTGTTGGACTGCGAAGCTGGGCTACAAGAGAAGATGAGATTGACATTTTAGGGAAACCACCTCTTGTTCTATGTGCTTAACACATTTTTCAAAAGAGATGCTGGAAGATTGAAGTAAAATGGAAATTTCTTAAAGCAAAATTATAGATTACATAACAATAAAATTTATATGTATATGATATGTCATTTATTTATTATAATATAATTAAATATAATAATTTATATAAATAATAATAACAAAAATTTCCTTTTTTCGGGGAAAGATTTAGGCCCAATCCCAATTTTATTTTTGGACCCCTTGCCCGTGGCCCTTGAAAGGAAAGGGCTTCAAAATGTACCCTTAATGCCCAATTCACACAGGGCTTCAGCGTCAACGCTTGACAGAGGGTGTGTCTGAAGTTGGGGCTGACGTGATCGTCATAGCAGCGTCAGCCAATGAAATTAGTCAGCAATCGGCTACTGTCTGAACTGGTCTATTTGCATACAGCAATCTGATTGGCTGACACTTCCGAGAAAAAAAAAAGTTGAGCAAGTCCCAACTTCTGCAGCAAGCAACACCACTGAAGCGGCGCCGATGGATCCACAATGCAGTTCTGCAAGTGAATGGGAAGCGTTGAAGCCCCGTGTGAATAAGGCGTAAGAAATGCGACAACACTACAACACCAGAACACGTCATCTTATGTCAGCACAATCTCTTGCTTTATATGAGATCGACGATTGCGACTGCTGTAGTTATTCAAGTTGCGTTATTTTTTGGTATTAATCTTCAGGAAATCACTGAAGGCGTATATCATGTTATCATAATGTTATAATGTGGCATTAAGCTCGTAACTATACTGCGCATTTACACCATGGTCATATTCATCTATGTAAACACACAAAAACAACATTAACATTATAGCAGACACTGTAAAAAGCTCATTTCCAGCCACTAGACTTTTCTGACAGGGTATTTGAGTGTCATCTAGTGCCAGAATGTTGTGGGGCTGCTATACATATGAGTTAGTATGAGGGATTATAGAAAATTCGTTTTTATTTTAACATTTTGTTTTAAAAGCATGACAGTAAAACACATATGCTGTTTTGAATGTATTAAAACATGTGCTTGTTTGTTGTAAAAATTCATAATAATGACAAAAAAATACTAATTTGTGCATCTCCTGATTTCCATGTGCAGCCATGCTGCGGTTGTAGACGGTGTATTCTGGGAAATATTCTTACCCCTTGGTCTCGAGAGTGGTTCTGAAAAATCTCAGTTTGAAGTGGTATCTAACCCTTCCCCTATAGTCCTACGCTTTCAAGCAAAAAAAAAAAAAAAGAATAGGGACTCCCCTACCCCCTCACTAAGAGGAAGGGGAAGGGCTAAAGAGAATTGGGATTGGGCCTTAGTAGTGCAAAAATTCTAAATACTGTCAGGTAATATTATCTAATATAAAACATTGTAATATAATCCCCAAACAAATTCCTAAACTTGTTATGTAAAGATATTAGGCTAGCTCAGTTACTGACAGGTCATTTCACACTTGACTTTTGGACAGTTCATGAGACACTTGTGTTTATTATTTATACAGTTAATAATAACAATAATAATAATAATAATAATAATAATAATAATAATCTGATTGTTACATAATAAAAAACTAAAACTATTATATGAAGAATTATTAAAAAACAAACTTACTGTTAGATCATCCCACACTTGACTTTTGGCCAGTTCGTAAGATACTTGAGTCATCTCAGAAACAGGAATTGGGAAACCAGGAATACTGTTATGTAGATGGAACCCAAATGTGACCAGCCAGCTGTTCACATCTGTAGAAATATTAATAAATCAGTCATAATGTGCACTGTGGAATGTACAGCAGATATAGATTACTTCCAGTAGTTATTTGAAGATGCAGTGAATCCATGGAGTACCTGTTAAGTAGTCCCCAACTTTCTGCACTTTACTTATTGGGTTGTTGTTTCGGAACATATAAAGGTTGAAAGGGCCCGGGTTCTTACTGAGATTCTCCCACAGCATGAAATCAGGTGCAGTCCAGCGACCTGCCATTATGTCATAATCACGCACCCCAAAATGAAGCAGTCTTGTTAAAGGGTCATAAAGTCCACCGTGAAATCCAATCACCAACTGAATGTCAGGATTAGAGTCAGAGTAGACCTCGCCGTAGGCCGTATAATGAACCTGTTTCAGAAGAATGCCATCACTGCCAAACACTGCCAGTGGTGTTCCTGTGTTATCACAAGCTATGTAGAACTCTGCTCCATTGCTGATCTCCATCGCAAACAAGTGCCCTTGCAGATCGTAATATAGAGAGGTGATCTGTGAGCTGGAGTGGTTGTAGACATGTGTTATCCTACTTGGATAGCTCAGGTCTGCATAGAAGAACTGCAGATGTTGCCCCACGGTGGACTTTGTAGATACTCGTCTTCCTAGACCATCATAGCGGTGCTGAACAGACCATCCGCTGGATTTACTATACACACGTTCAAGGTGTCCATTGGAGTTGTATTGGAAGATCTCAGAACCTCTCTGCTGGAGAAACCCATCTTCATCTAACTCATACTGCAGGTCTCCAAGTCGAGTAATACGGTCTCGTAGGTCATAGCGTAGAGGCATGATTCGAGCACTGTTTGCTGGACTCAACAGGTGTATGTTCCCATTCAGGTCATAGCTGTAGCGCCATGTCATCTTCTCATTGAGGTATACGGCTTGTAGTTGCCCGTCCACATCATATTCATAGCTATACTTGGTGGCGTTGGCGAATGGACCGATCTTCATCTCCCGCTTGGTGACTCGGCCCATATCGTCATACTGAACTGTAATCCAGAAGAGCAAAGAACGGAACAGTTCATACTGAATCTCTCGGACTCGACTGTGCCCGTCAAAGTGTTTGGTGTAAGTCATGACGGAGGTGGAGATGATCTGGTTGATGTCGTAATAAATGACGCCAAATTTGCCAAATTGCTCCACCTTGCCTGAGATGTCATCATACTGGTAGAGATCAATGGGCAGTGGGGTCTCATTGATGACCCCCTGAACACTTGTCACACGCAGACTACTGTCATAAGCGTAGTCGAATCGAGCATTGACCATCCCATCTTCACTGAAGCGGTAAATCTGCCGGTCTACCAGTGGGCCGAGCTGCCTGTATCTAATGGTGCATATGAAGCCCTCGCTCTGCAGATTGACTGTCTTCAGCACACCTGCTGTCTCATCATAGGTGAAGCTGACACGAGTGCTGTCATACAGAACCTCCGAGAGCTTGTTGTGCCACCGGTAACGGTACAAGACCCTCCGACCTGTGCCCAGCTGTGCCACTCTCAGGAGTCGGCCGTCCTCAGTGTAATCTACAGCGACAGAGGCATTGCTTTCTGGCATATGGTAAAGGTTGCGGTAGTAAGACACAGAGCGGATGGTCTCCATGGTGTAGCGGGCAACACTGGGCATGGTGACTGCAGAAAGGCCTCCCTGAGGGTCATATTCAAAGACGTACTGCCGCTGACTCGCCAGTATCAGGACAGTGGACTAGAACAGAAAGAAAACAAACATTAACCTTGTGCATCCTTATAGCTTTTTTATTTTTTATTTAAGCACAAAGCTCAACTTTGAGTTTGGCTAAAGGAACAAAAATAGTTCCTCCTAGGACCTTGAGGACAAAAAGTCCCCAGTGAAAACTACAAAAAAGCTGCAATATTTTATCTTAATGCCATTTAAGCACAGTTGGGAACAGTAAACTGAACCATCTGTTTCCGATGCAAGCAATAAGTAGTTGTGTACTATGGAATGCAGTGCTTCCCACACATACACTTTACTAGGGCGGGCCGCCCAGGTATTTTAACAGCTCATCAAGTATATTTGATGACAGTTTTTTTTTCCTTTTTTTTTTCAACCAATATTATCATCCTTTTACACTTTTTTTTGTATATCCGCCCAACATTTCCAAAAATCCTTGTTTGATTAACCAGTGGAAAATCTTCTTTCGTCCTATACATTTTGTACTGCTCATTGTGTGTGTGTGAGAACTGTCAACAACACTTTCTCAGACAGTCTTACAGGCTCTGCAGAGACCCAAAGAGAAGCGCCTTTTTGAGGTTTAAAATGCATCCGGCCGGTGTTTCTAAATCTCCCAAAATGTCCGGGAGTCGACTTTTGCTTTCACTTTCTAAAGTTGTTGCATTTTTGCATTACTCTTTTATTAAAGACTACCTGCCGCTTGGCTGAGCTATGACAGAGAGAAAAAATAAATAATAGATTCTTTAACCTAAACCATACTCTGAGTGGAAGAAATGACATCTAAACTGGCTGCAAAATATTTGTACAGCATTAGAAATGGTCAATCAACTCATTTGCCTTATTAAAATAATCTACACTTTTTATTTTAATTATTTATTACTTATTAATAAATATTATCCATTTATTATTATTTATTATACATATCTAAAATGTTTTGGCAATACTGAACTAAATGTCATGCCAACGGAGCAACCTGAACTTGAGAGAGAGAAAGAGAGGAAAAGAGAGAAGCAGAAGCAGATAGCTCCTGATTCTGAATAGGATAAAAATAAGAGAAACAGTGGATTTATTTTTATTTCAACAGCCATTTTAAAAACTTCAACCCATTGAAAAGAAATGGTGTATAACAGTGTCATAATTATTAAATGTATTTTTAAAAATCACATTACATGTGTGTCACATGTAGTTAACCATACTATACTGTATATGTGCAGTGGGTAAAGGATGTGTTTCAATCAGTCTACCACCACAAGAATATTTCAAACCCATGGGAGGCACTGGAATGTAGAATCAGGGCCCCCCTATGTAAACTATGGCATCCACAATATGATTTTGCTGTTGATATTATTATTTTAAATACACTTACAAAAATTCACTATATTTTAATGAATGAATGAATAAATGGTGACGCAGTGGCGCAGTGGGTAGTTAGTAGGTAGTAATGTTCTCCCTGCGTATGCTTGGGTTTCCTCTGGGTGCTCCGGTTTCCCCCACAGTCCAAAGACATGCAGTACAGGTGAATTGGGAAGGCTACATTGTCCGTAGTGTTAGTGTGTGTGTGTGTGTGTGTGTGTGTGTGTGTGTGTGTGTGTGTGTGTGTGTGTGTGTGTGTGTGTGTGTGTGTGTGTGTGTGTGTGTGTGCGTGCGTGCGTGCGTGCGCGCGCGCGTGCGTGCGTGCGTGTGTGTGTGTGTGTGTGTGTATGTTTCCCAGAGATGGTTTGCGGCAGGAGGGGCATCCGCTGCGTAAAAACTTGCTGGATAAGTTGGCGGTTCGTTCTGCTGTGGCGACCCCGGTAAAATAAAAGAACTAAGCCGACAAGAAAATGAATGAATGATAAATAAATAAATAGATAAATAAATAAATGAATGAATGAATGAATGAATGAATGAATGAATGAATGAATGAATGAATGAATAAATAAATAAAGTGCAGCCACTAAATTATTGTGGATTGATTGGCATCATCGACATGGCTGATTCACAGCCTTTCCCCCTTTAAACATGGGCTGAATATATGTTTGACCATTATGTTATTCTGGCTGCACCTCAAATAAATGGATTTTGAAATCAGCGTTTCAGAATGTGGTTTATTTAGCACATTCTTTTTTTGCTGATTGACTTACAAGGGACAAAAATCTCAGTGATTTGTATGTATTTCGCAAAAAGATACATCAATAGAATAAGCTGTATTAATAATATTGTGGCTCAATATGGTCAAATTATATACGAAATAAAACCACAATATTTCATTTACCAGAAACAAAAATATAACATTGCACTGAATTCATTATTTGTGTGCCACCCCAAGATTTGGCATGGCTTTATCTGGCCACCCTAAAGAAAATATTCTAGGGGCAGCACTGTGCAGAATGTGGTTAATTGAAACATTCGTTGAAAATTAAAACAATTTTTTCCCCAGGCTTAGATTAAATATAATCATGTCAAGTCAAATTTTACATTTTGGAAAATGATTGACTAATTCATATGAATTAGTTATGTAATTAGTACATTTTTATATGATCTACTCTCACCCCAGTGATGGTTAAAATGCTTTATATTTTTCCCCTAAAACTCTTATTTTAGCCATTGAAACTATTCAAATGATATTTAAATAAATGCAGCCTCGGTTACAATAATAGATTCACAGAAAACATTTTTAGCATTTGGTTAGCAGCTATTTTAAACCCTTTACCCTGTTGGTAAGCAGCCTATATGTGGCAGAATCAACTCTTGATAGAGTATATCTCAAACATCACGCTCTCTTTACCTTTTCCAGATAAGTGTAGCTCCAGGTCTTCCCATCAGGAAACGTTCTAGAAAGCAGGCGGCCTTGTCCATCATACTCCACCCTGTCTGATACTGAACCCCAGTGTATGGCACTCAGCTGCCCGTTGCTGCTGCGAGTGAGGTTGACGGGCAGCAGTTTGCTACTTGGCATCCAGAGAGTGGGCTGACCTGCTGTGTCATAGCCAATCTTCAGAAGGAATTTACGGTGATCGTCATAGATCTTTTCAATCCTCAGTGCTCGGTCGTAATCAACAGACAAAATGTTCCGTCCATTTACCTTGAAGTGCAGGCAAAGGAGAGACACAAAATTGGTATGGCAACAGTAAAATGGCAGAAAATTGACTAGAAAATTGGCTTTTTTTTTCTTCATCTGCCTTGGTTTCCATCAAAAAGTTTGACTCAATTCTTTGTGAAAATGAGTCTCATGATTAATAGATTAACTTCATAAAACTAAATGACTCGTGGCATGATCAAACTATTAAAAGATCTTCAAATGTAATCAACATCAATTTTAGAATAGACTTGTTTAACCGCTGTAAAACTGGCTTTTTTTTGTAGTCTCAGCCGGGTGCCATCTTCACGCCACATTAAATTGATATCATTTTATCAAATTCACAAGAAAGCTCATGTGCCATTTAAATTGTCAATTATGATTGACACTATCTTCAACACCAATTCACATTCCAATAAAAAAAACACCAAGAATTTGTGCATGCTTTAAAAAAATGGTAACACTTATTCCAATTGAGTATCAGTAGACTGTCTGCTTAATGTGTTGATACTGCTGCTAAACAGACATTTAACTGACTATAAGAAACTTTGCAAATACATGTCAACTGACACTAACCCCAACAGTCTACTTATAATCTAAAAAGAATTAGTTGGCAAGTAGATGCAATATAACTTAAATTCAACAAATGAACCATCAAAATAAAGTGTGACTAAAAAAACCTATAAGAACTGAGGCCAGTTTACCTCATGAGCTTTTAGCTATAATAAGGCTAAGAGATGTCATGATGAAATTATTAAGGGATTTTGCACTTGTTCTCAAGCTTTTCTTAAAGGTGCAGTTGGTGATCTGCCTAAATGCTATCCGTTTGCCTAATATCTCCTAATGTCATTCTTCCTCCAGCATACAAAAGTAGCTTCAATATTGATTCAGGATTTTAAAGTTTTGATTCAGCATTTGTTTTTACGGCTGTCACTCTCTCTCTCGTGTGCAGGTGAACGTGTGTGTAACCCCGCCAGTCCTACACCACCCAACCTCACTTACACAGCACTTACTAGCTGGCCTCTGCTACTACCCTCCTAAACCTCATTCCCATCCGGGTCACGGCACCAATTTAACCCCACCGGTCCTACACCACCCAACCCACTCCAAACTAAGATCGAACTGGTGACCTTCCTCATGGGAGTTGGTTGCTCTAACAAGGAGGCTAATGACCATGGCCTCTAGCGTCTATCGCTAGAGCAACTTTTAATAAAGGTCAGAGGAGTGTAGTTTACCTGCACAGCACTTACTAGCTGGCCTCTGTTACACGTGCACACGCAAACGGCAGATCTGTCTGAACGGCTGTGCAGTTGTACAAATCTACATTTGTTAACAGACTTTTTGGGCTACTTATCTGAATTATGGGAATTATCGGCCTGACAAATTTTAATTGGATGAACTTTTTTTAGTTGTATGCCTTTCCCAGAATATAAAAATGCATATAAATACATTTATTTTTTAATCATTACTATTAAAATGTGAAGAGACTTTCAACCAGCACAACAAAAAATGTTTCTGAAGACAATAACCTACTGCACCTTTAAACATTTCTATAATTGGACTTCATTACGTACTCGTAACTTCCGTCCAAACACTGTGACCTTCGTCCTCGTCTGCTCTTTGCGAAAGCGCCACTCCACCAGATTTTGCCCGCTGTCATCAGGCAGTGTCATGTTTCTCCGTGCCAGAGTAGGGGACGAAGCACCAGCCAGAATGTGTGGCTCTGTCTGATAGTGAGTGTTCATTCCATTGGCATACAGAATCCATAAGGAGTGGTCGTAACCAACCACATAGCTGTTCTTCAGCTGATCTGCAAAATAATGAAAACACATACTGTAAATGACACAAGTAGAAAGCCCAGAATGTTTTTTGTGTGTGTATTTTATTAAAGTGTTACCTTGTTGTAATGTAAGAATGTTTTGAATTGCTGACTGGTTTGTAGTAATGCTTCCAGCCTCCTCTCGTTCAAAACTTTCTTTTTCTACTGTAGATACAGTGTCCATTTCATAAGCAAGACTGGTCACCACTCCGGTGGGAAAAGTTACATTGGTGAGTCGCCCCTCTGTGTCATAGCTGGGAGAGAAAGAGAGAGAGGTGCTGCCTTTAATGTCATTGAGCATTGGTTTATCTGAGAGCACACATATTGTACTATAATTTTTTATATAGGTAATTTTGTTTATATTGGAATTCTGAGAAAGTTTAGCATTTGAGTAATTATTTGAATTTCTTTAATTATTTTTACTAAACAATCCTGTTTGCAGGGTTCCAACTCTAAACCAAATGTCAAATTCCCTGACCTTCACTGACTAAAATTAAACTATTATTTTTTTTAAATATGCTGCAGATTTTCTAGTTTTTGGTCAGCCAGGACACCATCTGCATAGTTTTATATCATATAGCATAGCATTCACTCATTAATTATATACACCAATGGAATAAAAACTACGGAAATTTACTGTGAATTTTAAGAAAATTAACTGCAAAAAAAGTAATTTTAGGCAATTTTTGAATCAATAATTCAGCAGGGACCGATAAAAAACTGCCGAATGACTCCATTTGATTTCTTGTTGACAGGTGTGCAAGGAATACAATGGAAATAAAATATAGCCTAAACGTAACAATAAGCAAAACAAGTGAAACGATGTGTTAAAAACAGGGTGTAGAAAAATACATTTTGATAAATGGGAAGTAAAATACTTAATATTTCATGACTTGGACCGATAATAAAACTTTCAATGTCTGGAGTAAAACCAAGATATTTGACCATGATATTGCAAAAATTCTATGATCCATAAGAACTCTGTTTGTGACCTCAATTCAAGCACAACCTTGTTTTAATAGTTCTGTTTTTCCATTAAGTAACTAAGGTAGTTTTGGACAATCAGGTGCACCAGTTTATTTTTATCAAACCAAACCTAAAAGTTGTTATCAAACACACTTTAAAAGTATCAGATCTACATATCTTCTTAATAACCAGCATGATTTGATGGTGAATGAATCCCAAGCAAACTTTTAAAGAGACCCTATAATGGGTTTTTGAAAATGGCCTTCTATGCAGTGTGTAACAGCACTAAGTGAATAAAAACATCCAGCTGAGGTTTAAATTTGAAAGTCCACCGTGTTTAAAACTATTGATTCTTTAATGAAATAGTCCACTCAGAGTCAAATAAATGAATCATGTTGGGTCCGGATGTTTGCCTGAACATATCAAATGTCGACATGGTACATCATCAAATATGTAGTACCGGTTCTGGTAAAACATGAGCACTCCTTTCCCTTCAGACACTAGCGGAGCGCAGGGGATCACGGGACTGATCATGACTCGAAGATGACGATCACTGACAGATGAGGATTTGGCTGCAGGTAATAAATGGTTAAAGTTCATTTTCAGAACAATACCACAGTATAGCCAACCGTGTGCTGTAATTGTTCCTGTCATTTTTCAGATTTTTGATTCAATAACCTACGCTTCAAGCGTGACTCATCGGCCGTTTGGAGCAGAGATTATTATGTATGGGACTTTGTCAGAATTTGACAGGGACTTTGTCAGTAACTGTTACAGTTCACGTGGACCAGATTCTTCTTCCTCAGGAAAATATGTATTTAATTGTGTGTTATAAGTTGTAATTACTCCATGCAGCTTGTAATCACTTATCTATTATAGATCAGTGCTTGTACTGTATCTCTCAGCTTAAGTCTTTATAGGGCTATTCACATATTGTGTCTAAAACCATGTTGAAAACGTGACGCGTTCTTCTTCCTTTACCGATTTAAATGAGTGTGTGATGTTAAGCTGTTTGTCTTTGCTATGGCCACCATCTTCTGTTCATACACACGTGCAGTGTGGTCAATTTTCAAAATAGTTCAACTTTTGCCACTGTGTAGATTAATGCTGAATGTGTGTCTGTTAATACTTGGAGTTAGCGAGTAGAGTAAGGTGCTAGTGTTTAACTGGATTGCTTTATTGCATTCCTGCATTGAGCTGTGGTGGCCATTTCTCTCTGTTGCGCACTGAGTCGACCAATCACAACAGACTTGGTCATTGAACCAATCACAGCAGATTAGCCTCACGCACAGGAGGTTTAGGGAACAAATGAATCGCTGAACGAATCATATGGGAATCGTTGGGATAATTAGGTAAAAATAAATGCATATTGGGTGACGCGTTGGCGCAGTAGGTAGTGCTGTTGCCTAACAGCAGCAAGGTTGCTGGTTGGAGCCTCAGCTGGATCAGTTAGAATTTCTGTGTGGAGTTTGCATGTTCTCATTCTGCTGTGGCGACCCCGGATTAATAAAGGGACTGAGCCGAAAAGAAAATGAATGAATGAATAAATGCATATTCTAAAACAATGAAAGTGTTTTTTTTTTTTTGGCCTGGCATGCATATCAGCCTGTTGTTGGAGACCCCCAAATTAAAATATGACCTTTTAAAATGCAAATAGGGGCTCTTTAATACTAGCTGAACCCTAAATTTGAGGATACAAACAGCAGAAATGCCCAAACGCTCTTACTCATAAAATGTTGTCCATCCACTGGCAGTGCTCATGGTTGCCAGGAGACCACTGTTGCCATGGTAAGTTAGCAGCACCTGTTCACGCCCCTGTGTGCCAAGGGTCTTGAGCCCACCACTCGAGCCCACAGTTAGCCAAATAACCTGGTTGTCAGGTGCAACGATGCGCACGGGCAGGCGGCTGGCATCTCTGCGAATTCGAAGCGTGTTCCCATGACTATCAGCCACTGAGGTCAGATCTCCCTCATTGCTGTAGCTGAAGTTATATTTGAAGTCTCCGGTGATCAGGTTAGCCGTATGCTGGTGAGTGCCATTACTGTCAAACATGTACACCTCCTGCTCGCCGGACGACGCCACTTCTAACAGACCCATGCTGTTAAGTGCAGGCTTGTTTCTTCCAATGGTGCGAATGCGAATGTTTCCCAGGTCAGCAACGTATAGGGTTCCATCCGGAGCTGCCACTAGAGATGACGGGCCGTTCAAGCGAGCGTCTTTAGCAAAGCCGTCACCGGTTAGGTAACAGTCGCAGTTGACGTCGGTCTTGCAGTCGCAGTCTGAAGGCGCTCCTGCCAGGTGAGTGATCTGGCCATCTGCCGCCACGCTGCGAATACGGCTCATCTTCCTCTCGTCTGTCTCGGCGATGTGCAGGACTCCGCTGAAGGAGACGGCGATGGCGCTTGGGGATTCCAGATGGGTTTGCGTGGCTCGCTGTGTTTCTGTCACCGAGATGTCTGTAGAAGGCATGGGGCAGTGGAGGGGTCGGCCTGCTGCGACACTGACCTGGCCCTCCTCAGTGATCCGCAAAACCACACTGCCATCCAGAACAAACAAGGAGTTATCCATCGGGCTAACAGACAGATCCGTTGGCCATTCCAAAGACACCTAAAAGGCAAAGTGCAAAAGAGATTATAGCTTTACTGCATCTCCTTCTCATTTGCGATCATTTTTGTCCTACAAGTTTGGGCAGTTAACAGATATTGTATTTTCCCATGCTTGGTGACAGAATTGGCAATAGATCATTTCTTGTGTTAATGCAGTAGCTAATGGGAAACAACTGTTAATTGTGTTTTACAGCCTTGGTGAATGTACATTAATGGTATGTTCTTCATAATGCCCTTAAGGACATTAGCATTTTAATACATTAGCATTTTAAGTAGCGAAAATTACATGAATGTATCATGAGTTAACATGAATTAAGCATCAGGAATGGTGCGTTTAAATTATTTTGCTTAATTTGACATTTTAACAAGTATGAATTTACTTTCAGCAATATTATAAATAAATAAAACTAAATAATACTAAAGAACAGTACATGATCATTCATACATTTTTCCTCAGCTTAATCCCTTTCCTCATCAGGTGTTGCCACAGCGGAATGAACCGCCAAATTATCCAGCATTTATCCTCTTATCTTAACTTATCCTCCATTTAAATGACGTCATCACCTGGAGATACAGTATCACAGAAGTGGTCTTACAGCCAAGTAGGTCTGGGCCTGCCATAAACACCCAAGTTCCCTTGTAACGTTTGGTTATGTAAAGGCAATGCTATAAAAAATGTTTTGCAAATATATATCAGGTTTTTTTTTTTTTTTTAATGGATCAGTTGGCATTTCTGTGTGGAGTTTACATGTTATTCCCGTGTTGGCCAGGGTTTTCTCCGGGTGCTCCTGTTTCCCAAACAGTCTCTAGAGATGCGCTATGGGTGAACTGGGTAAGCTAAATTGTCCGTAAAACATATGTTGGATGAGTTGGCAGTTCATTCCGCTGTGAATTAACCAGATTAATAAAGGGACTAAGTCGAAAGAAAAATGAATGAATGAATGAATGAATATTTTAGTTGATTTTCATTGCCTGATTTTTATTTGCAGTTTTTTTTTTGTTTGTTTGCTAATTTCAATTTATTTGAATATTATATATTTTTGCTTTGTGATTTTTGGAGATTTTCATTTATTTTATGCTCAATACATAGTTTTTTTGCTAAACTTTCTTTTATTTTGCAAGTGTATATGGCCTATATTGAAATATATTAATATTTAGAAAATGTTTTGTTTTTAATTTAAACAAACATGATTGAGCTATCAACATTAGTATATTTATAAAGCAATATTAAAGAACAGTAAATACAGGTATTTTTAATTATTTAATGACAAAACGTCTATTAAGCAAGAATAACACATTCATTTTAACAGACGTTAATGAGCTAAATGAAATACTATTATCTTACGTTCATTTTCCTTTAGCTTAATCCCCTTATTCATCAGGGGTCGCCACAGTGGAATGAACCGCCAACTTATCTAGCATATGTATTACACAGCGGATGCCCTTCCAGCTGCAACCCAGTACTGGGAAGCACCCATAGACACCCATTCACATACATACAGTACGGCCAATTTAGCTTATTCAATTCACCTATAGCCCAGCCTGGACTCAAACCAGCAACTGTCTTGCTGTGAGGCGACAGTGCTAACCACTAAGCTACGGTGTCCCCCAAAATAGTATTATATTATAAATATCACAACGATTGTAAATACTTTTAATTTCAACAATCACAAAATACCTATCAACAATGTTATTGATATTATAAGTCATTTGGAATTATTAAATAATAAAAAAACTATCATCAAATGTACATTTCCAACCCAGTGTAAAAAAGGAAATAATCTGTCCAAAAGTCATTTCAGTCCCTCAGCAGGTCACGATACATGACTCGAGCATGACGATCTGAGAATTTTCACTTTTCACCTGATGGACGTCCATAACCGAGTCGCAGCTCAGAGGTCGAGCAGAGGCAAGGTCATTGGACCCCAGCAGGGTGGAGATGATGCCGTTCTGATCCACCTTTCGAATGACGGTCCCATCAACAAAGTAGATGAGTCCGTTCTTGTCGACGGCGATCCCTGGAGAGAAGAGAGGAAGGGAACGAAATGTGCAGGTCACACAGCTGTGCTCTTTGCTTGCCTGATCCAGGCAGTGGGTACATGTGTCGTGTTTGGCTTCCCATTATTCAGGTCACTGCAGAAAGCATCGCCCTCAATTATTCACATCTTGCCTCCCACTGCTGAATTATTTCTTAAGGAGAAAGTGGAATAGGATGTATTAGAACATCCCTCCCTCCCTCCCTCCCTCTAGCATTTCTGTCTGCCTGCTCTCACCGTCTGAGCCGGTCCGCCAGTCGGCTCAGGGTATCTGACAAAAGCATGGAGTGGGAAAGCATCAAACCCAAATTATCAAAGTGTAGGTTGCTATAGAGACGGCCGCTTGGTAAATGCGTGCCTAGTGGAGTGGTAGTTTTTTGTGGCTGACGAAAACACAGTGAAGTGAACTGACGTTACGGCAAAAATCTCAGTCCCAATCGAGGCGGGTGCTCGTATGCATCAATGCCTCTGACTTTTTTTCTTTTTTATAGCTACGACAGCCGGGATGTAGATCTCTGCACATGTCCCATCAATTCACCACCAGTCTACACAGGAAATACGATAGCTAATGTATCCATCATTCAGGACATGCATTCAAGTGCGAATGACATTTTATTGAAAAACAATGAAAACATCTCCATTTTTTTCTGCATGGCGGGATTATATAGGAAATAGGATGTCTATATTCTCCAGACAAGTGTGACGCTTTATAATTTATGTCGGCCAAGTCATCGTTCAAAGCATGCTTCATCAATCCGTTGTGTCTGGCTCAGTCAAATAATTTAGTACCTATCCCGAGGCTGTCAGTTTCCATTTCCCTGGTTGAAGCGCCAATCAGAGAGCTCGCAGTGTTAAAGGCTGCCAGAGCTTTGAGATGATCTTTCATGTCAATCAAAGTGCCTCAGAAGATTCATTTCAACCATATCATCAATTTGAAGAACCCGAGTCACTTGACTTCTTGCTTGAAAACAGTCATGACCCTTTTGATTGTCGCTTTTCACAATACCTTTGGGCCCTGTGAGAAGGGCCTCAGTTGCCGGACCTCCATCCCCACATTGAGCTTCGTCAAAAGGCAGACAGTGATCTCCGGTTCCCGCCACCACCTCCACGTTCTGTTGGAGCTCTGAGCTGGTCAGCGATCCCAGTGGGCTGTAGATGCGTCTAGAGTTGGTGTCAGACACGAAGAGCCGCCCTGTCACCGGATCCGTGGTCAGGTAGTAGCGGTGAGCGGGATTGTTGCTTTGGGAGAGACATATAAACAATAGAAGTTATGAGGGAAGACATTAGCCTGCTGTCAAGCCGAGCCAGTGCGACTCATAAATTATTGGTCTGACATTGCAATTGGAGATGGCAGATGAAATGAGAGACTGATTAGAATATTAATACCATTAAAGATGTTGAGAGAATTGCAGCATATTTTTTCGCATCTATCAAAAGGGTGTGAGCTGCTGACAGATGGGAAGCAGAAAAAAGGGAAGTAAATGTGATGTGACTGGAACGTATTTGTGAAGGCTGTGATGACGACTCCAAGACTGCCAGATCATTTCAATCATTCCCGTTCCCTTGCGGGGAAAGGTTCTCTGCGATGTGGTGATGATATGCATATCTTAATGACTGTCAACAACTGATGGCTTTTCAGAACGCTACGCTTATTTGCATTCATTAATTCCGTCTCCCAATCAGTCGGCTCCTTTCTGAATGAGTTAGCCTGGCCCCTCTAGACATGCCATTAGTGGTTAAATGGCCAGTCGAGCCGGGACATGATGGTGTGGAGATCTGTGACCTTCTTCTCTAGGATCAGACAAATCTTTTCACGTTTTATCAAAAGCAGTTTTAGAGCTTTTCTTACACACTGAGTGCACTCGCCTCGATCGATATCCTGGCCTGTTTGGAAACCAATTCACACTCAGAGGCACTGGCGTGTGTAAAATCCAAATGTGAAAATGTGAAGCAGTGGTACTTCTTTCAGCTAAAGGCCCAAAGTGCCGGCCACTGCATCGTAATCTAAAGTTCTCTAGCATGGCTTGAGTAAAGCTTTTAGACAGTCAACCACATCTCACATAAAATGTGGATGGCATCTTCTGGAATTAGTACTTAACCTGGGTTAGTTTGATGTTGACAACCTTTGCACATTTAATTCCAAAGGGTCACAAGGAGTGATGTTTGTTGATGTAAGAAAAAAATGTACTCATCTATAATGTAGCATTTAATACATGTGTGTCTCTGCAAGGATGTACGCAATGCTGAAGTGCTTTTTAATGTAACTTACCTGTGCCTGAAATCCTTATTTCTTTGGTTAGTTTAAAAAAAAGGAGAGAAACAAGTCGTGAGAAAAAAAAGAGCAAGAGAGATTATGTACAATATTATACATTTAACCCCTTCATTGTCTAGTTCCGGTTTTATTCTCCTAAATAAATTTAGGCTACAACTCCTCTCAAATTAATTGATGTTACTTTACTGGCACCCCATTCTAATTTTATATAATAATAATAATAATAATAATAATAATTATTATTATTATTGTTATTATTATTATTATTACTACTACTACTACTACGGTTATTATTATTATTATTATTATTATTATTCATTTGATTAAAATATTTCTAAGAATATTTTTTGTATTTGTTTTATCATTTTAGTGATTTTGTTATTTCGTCATTTACATTTATTTCATACAAATATCTTTACTGATCCTGAGCCAGTGAGAGATTTGCTGTTGTTTTTTGTTGTTTGATTAACCAGCATGATCTCACAAGGAAGCATAACTATTTTACGTTTTGTCAATTCCTATAAGTTCAGTTGTACGAAAATGTACGATTTTAAAAAGGAGACGTGACACCCTTAATTCCAATCGTCATTGGAGGATGAGCAAATCTTACAAAATTGTTTAAATAAAATCGCACAAATTCACACAACGTTATCTAATTAAATAAGTGTAGTTAACTCAAAATTGAAAGTTAATTCTACTCATTTGAAAAGAGTTTTGAAGGTAATGAGTTAATTAAATACCTCATTACTTCAACTTAAATGGAATAAGTACACAGTACTCGTAAAGATTTGTTTTTTAATTTATGGTTTGTTGCAATCAGTTACCTCAAACGGTTTGAGTTGCCTCAACTTATTGGTTTGTACACTACTCAGTTGGTTTGAGTTCTCTTCATTTATCAGGTTTTACTGAGCTCAAATTGCTTCGTTTACTCAAATGGATTAAGTTCACCGTACTCATTAGGATTAGTTTTTGAACTTAAATGGTTTGTTGCAATCGGTTTCCTCAAATGGTTTGAGTTACCTTTACTTTTTGGGTTTGACAGTGTATGTATTAGACAATAAAAAAGAAGTTATGAATCGCCAAGAGATGGTGTTGGATGAACAGCTCACTTTTAGAGCTAATGCACAGATCCAGTATACCGATATATATATATACTTGCTTTTTTTCAGTAATTACTTTACCTTATGCAGAGTTCAGACTGCACGATTTTCAAAAGTAGTCATGTCACAGATGTTTTTACACTGCATGACTATCTTGGGCAGCGTTTCGTAGCTACTGTGTTAACATAGCAAGATGGATCAGCGACCGGGGTCAAGTTTTACACTGTATGACTTTACAATAGGAATAATCGCCAACAACTTTGTCTCAGCCTGCAAACTACGTCTCACACCCAACACGCGAGAAGTGACAGAAATAACATGAGGTCATGTAGTATTTATTTTGTTTTTAACTAAATAATGAGAAAGAAACCTTTAGTGATGTAGAAAATGGACTTATTTTGCTCACCAGGCTTTTAAGGGAATTAGCATTTTCTCCTCAACTTTTTTCTTTGTCGACCCGGTTGTGATATTGCTCGATGACGCATCAAACAGACACGGGTGCTCCTGCCAAATTTACACTCGTTTTTTCCTCCATTTCTTGCATCCAAAAAGACTGAACAGATGCACTTTTAACCTCTCCCCCAACCTCCCGCTTGCCTAAAGATACCCATACTAGTGGATGCTGCTCTCTCATTGGCTGTAGGTAATCGCCAATGTTATTTTCAATCAGAACACATTTTACACAGCATTGTAAAATTGGACAATAGCTCCAGATATTTAGCAAGCCAAATATTTCACGACTGTCGGCGACTCATCTTCATTTTCTTCTCTCAAAGATATCGTCTTTGATCACTGTGTGATTGTTATTCGTGTAAACGAACACAGATTTGCATGGCAAATTTAAGGCATTTGTTGGCAATTTCTCAAAACCTGTCGGCGAGTCAAAATTGAGGCTAAAATCATGCAGTCTGAACTCAGCATTACTTTATCTTTCGTACAGTACATATCTAACAAAGACGGGTATTTGCCCATGATGTTGCATGTATTTGTTCATCCAAGCCCAGAAATACACAAAAGACAAAATATTTTTGGTACTTTCTATGTGGGTATTACGCATGTGTGTGCACAAAAAAAAACATTGCATGAATTCCAAATTGAGATCACTGTCATGTCTTGTGTGGCATAAATAGTTTGTAATCACTTGAATTATGGAGCTTTCAACATTTAGCCCATATAATGGTTAAAAGTGGATATTAAACCATGGTTCACAAGCATCTTGAACTGTTGGGCATTGATAACACAATTTGCTGAAATATAACTGGACTATTGAATTAGAAAAAAAGACATCGCAAAGAAGTAGATTAAAATTTGAAACGAAATATAAATGAATAAAATTTGAAATGGATATATACAGTGCTCAGCATATATAAGCACACCCCTCACAAATCTATTTAAGTTCATATTTTTAATTTTATTTGTACATATACATTAGATTCATCAGTACTGAAGGAAAATAACTAACGATAATGGTCCAAAATTTATATAACATATCAAATATAAAAATATATAACAAAACTAATATTTAAACAAAACTAATATTATATAACAAAACTAATATATATAAAAATTATTTACACCCAAATTTATATGTATAATGTTATAGAAAAATATTAAATACAAATTTAAAAAGTGGAAAAATCAAGAGAAGCAAAAAAAAAAAAAGTCATATTAAGTTGAAATTTTGTAGGCTGTAATTAGTTTTTTCAATATTTTGCTTGAATTTAATTGTATTATTTTTCAATTCCTAAAAATGTTTGGTGACGGAAATATTATTTTCATAAATATATCTGTTTAATAAATCTGTTTTATTTAAATGCATCAAAATAAATTGCCTATATTCTCTGAGAAATTGATAAAAATATTAGTTTTCAAAAGAGAGTGTTCTCAATTATGCTGAGCATCGTATCTTATTAGAGACAAATCACTCTAAAACTGAGACTGCATTGTCAACAGGACCATGATTAGAGAAGTCAGCTAGTTAATTGATCATGTAGTCGACTTTCAATTGGTGCATTAGCTTAAAAATGTAAGTGGCAGTGAATTACTTCATCTTTAAGTCTAAAGCGTTCTGTCAGCACTCTAAAAGTCTAAACGCCTCTAAATTCCCCTTTCAAACATTGCAGCTACAGCTATCAAAGCACTGCTGCCAAATCCACAGCCTTCAACAATAACTTTCAAAACAATTACTTCAAATCACCTGCTGTGAGAATTGTTCCTGCTATTATGCAAAATCTGAAGGCCTGCTTTTTGTGAGAACTGACTGTTTTGCGAAGAAAGAAAAAAAATAGTAATACTATTAAATTGTTTGTAGATGCTGCCTGACAGGATCCTGTGATTTGTCACGTAAGGTATGCTATGCTGATGTTGAAGTTGTGTTTTCGCTGTGCTCACCTGAGCTCCATGACACTGGTGACATTGCCTGACGGATAGATGCGTCGAATGTAATTAAAGTCGCCAACATACAGACTGCCATCAATGCCCCATGCCAGAGCAACAGGGGCCAGCAGTTTGTTTCCCTCCGCCTGGCCATTACAGCTCGGACAGGAGATGCTTCTGCGTCTGCCGTTCCCCATTACAGTGCTGATGATGGGAGGAAGCTGAGAGAGGAACACATTCTCACCGTTCCCTTTATACAGGATCCCTGTACACCAGAGGGAGTAGAAGAGGGGAAAAACAGCATTTATTATTTTGTAGAAAAAAAATAGATACAAAAAAAGCTATTTTACGAGTGGTTAACTTGTTTTGTTTTACACAGACAGACAAAGAAATGTTAAGAATTTCTGACATCACAATATACAGTTGTGCAATTTTTTTATTCCGTAAACTACTTATGACAATGTGTGTATGTGTGTGTGTGTGTGTATATATATATATATATATTATTATTATCTATTTTTTTTTAAACCACACAATACAAATGCTTTGAATTACGAAAAGCTAAAGTCAATATTTGGTGGAATTCTTTTCGGCTTAGTCCCTTTATTAATCAGGGGTCGCCACAGTTGAATAAACCGCCAACTTATCCAGCATATGTTTTACGCCACGGATGCCCTTCCAGCTTTAACCCATCACTAGGAAACACCCATACATTCTCATATACACACATACTCTACAGAAAATTTTGCTTAGCCAATTCACCTATAGCACATGTCTCTGGACTTGTGGGGGAACGGGAGCACCGAAAGGAAACCCACGCAAATGCGGGGAGAACATGCAAACTCCACACAGAAATGGCAACTGACCCAGCCGAGGCTCGAACCAGCAACCTTCTTGCTGTGAGGCAAAACTGCTACCCACTGCACCACCGCGTTGCCCAATTAAAAATCATAATAAAAAAAGCAACTTATTTTATTTTGATCAGTAATTTTTTTAAGTTGGAAAACAATTTTTTATTGTGACATGGTGACTCAGTGGTTAGCTTCAGAGCAAGTAGGTTGCTGGTTCAAGTCCCAACTGGGTCAATTGCCATTTCTGTGTGGAGTTTGCATGTTTGTGTTTGCATGGGTTTCCTCCGGATGCTCTGGTTTCCCCCACAGTCCAAAGACATGCTCTATTGGTAAATGGAATAAACTGGCTGTAGTGTATGTGTGAATGACGGTGTATGGATGTTTCCCAGTACTGGGTTGATGCTGGAAGGGCATCCGCTACTTAAAAATCGTATGCTGGATAAGTTGCCGGTTCATTCCACTGTGGAGACCTTTAATGAATAAAGGGACTAGGCTGAAGGAAAACGAATGAGCATTTTTTTTTTTTTTTTACATTTTACCTAAACCCTTATGTATTTAATCCAGTAAAACTGAGAACCCCCCCCCCCCCCCCCCGATTTACATATAAATCAAGACTCATTCAAGAAATAACAATACAATTGCTGAGCAATTTAACTTGGTTTGAATTGTTTTGCACAGACAATAATATATATATATATATATATATATATATATATATATATATATATATATATATATATATATATATATATATATATGACAATTGGAAAAAAAATGGCAATCCACATACAGTTATGTAATAATTCAAGAGACCACTTATCTCTCGATTTCTCTGGATTTAAAATGTTATGTGTACATAAACACATCTCTTCTAAATTCTAATTTTAAAAAATGTCATTTATATAAAAATGATTTGGAGTTTTAACTTCAGAAGACCTAATAGTCCTCAAGCAATCAAAGTCATATGATGCCCACATTGCTAGTTAAATTTATCTGTGCATGACATTAAGAAAAAAAATGCCTTTCTAATCTTTAATTAAAAACTAAAATTGCACTTTCTGTTTTCTATTTTTATTTGTCAGATTATGTATATCTTAGCAGTTGGGCGTGGCTAACATATTTAACCACACCCATCCAATTGTCAGTTTTCACAACAAACAGAAATGATGGGGAGGAGGCATCTGTTAGGTTGTAATAACTCTCCCCAAACTCTTTTCCCGATCAGTGTGAATGAAATGTCTTCTTTACTACATCCAATCAGCTCACAGTAGAAAAAACAAGCCACACCTACAGTTGTCTCATTTAATATTCTGTTTTTCTAGGAACTGCATCACAACACGAAAAAAGTAACGGTCACAGCTTCTGGTTCATGTGGATTTTAAGAAATCAATCAATATATGGTGATTTATATATTTTTATTTTATTTTAGGGGTGGTCTTTAAATAAATATTTTCCTACAGTTGTAAAAAAATATTTATCAGAACATTGTAGGAAAAAAGCATTTACTCAAACCCATATCTAATAAATTATGTAATAACTGAGAAAACCAGATAAACAGAATTTTCAATTGGTCGTTTGTTTCCATATAGCTACAGTCCCGAAAACAAATTAAGAAACAAACACAAATAGATTAAGACAAATAAAACAAAACATACAATTAACTTAACAATTTAACTTAATATGATTTGTTTTACACAGACAAGCAAAAAAATGCTATTCTTATCTGACTTCACAACCTTACATGCTTGAATAATCTATTAGAGAAATGGAAAAAAGGGCAACCAGTTTTTTTTTTCTTCTAGCTGTAATGGAAAGGCTTGAACATATAACTCAACTAAAGATGAAAGTTCCTACCCTGGACATCACTATGAAAAGAGGGCACTTAGTGCTGTGATCTTCCCGAACTTCCGTTAGAAACTCCATTAATGTAGACATTGAAGTAGCACTTTGATGAGGAAGCTCCAAAATGAATTAAGCTGCTAAAGGCACCAGAGCCACCATAATGACCATTTTCATTAATATGGATGATTAGACTTCAACTTTTGAAATAAACTGAGCACTTCTTAAGCAGTCTAGCATTTTAATTTGATGCTGATAAAAAAACAAAAAACATTTCAAAATATGTATTGGATTTGCATGATATTGTATAATAAATTAGCTAAATTATAAATTGCATACAAACTAATACATCAGACATGTGTATTGTATAATATATATTACATTTTTATGTTTAAGATATTTAGGTTGCTAAGGTATCTTTTTTTCTAGATTACATTTATTATCCATGCTTTATATTTCTCTATTCCAAGATAATTAAAAAATGATTGTGTAATTACTTTCATTTAATAATGTATTTACAACAACATTTTTTAATTAAATACTTTTTTTTCTCTCAAATTGAAAACTTGAAAGAACAATTGTGAAGGAAATTAAAATAAAGCTATTGGTATTACTTTAAAAAAATATTAATGCTTTCAGAAGTATTTTTTACTAGTCAAAAGTAACATTAAACGGAATGTGACTTGTTGTCATGAAGAAATGAGTTTCTGTGTGTATAAGCAATATGAAAAAAATGTGTACAGCAATATCTTTGATTTATTCATCTAAAATTTGCCAAATTCAGTGACTTTATGATTTGTACAGCTAACTTGATCTTTATGTGCAGATTCCACAATACTGTCTTTCTACATCTTCTGCATGGTGGAAATTATAGGACACTACATTATATACCAATTCCATTATTTCATACTAAATTCATATATTTTAGAGCATAATTGCATTTGTCACAGTATTCACAAATTCATGTTGTTGAACAAGAAAGAACAAATCTAAAAGGTACAATTACACCCAAAACATATATAAATAAATAAGTATTGAACACGTCACCATTTTTCTCAGAAAAAATATTTCTAAAGGTGCCACTGAAATTTCCCCTAAATGTTAGTAACAACCAAAGAAATCCATATATGCAAAGAAAACAAATCGAATTAGTTTACAAATTAAGTTATGTGTAACAAAATGAAATGATGTAGGGAAAATATATTGAACACATAAAGAAAGGGAGGTGTAGAAAGGCAGTGAATGCCCAGACAGCAGCTGAAATCTCTCAGTTGTTCTTTAGCAACCCTCTGCCCTTCCTCATTGTAAATGAATTTTAGCTGCTTCAGTACAACAACTATATTGTCATGATGATGAAGATGAAATCAGGATGGACAATTCAGCAAGACAATAATAAAAAGGAATTCAGCCAAGGAAATCTTAAATGGTTTCAGAGAAGCTTTAGAATGGCACAGCCAATCACCTGAATTGAATCCAACAAAAAATACAAGAACAGATTTGAGAGACGAGACCCACAGATCCATCAAGATTATTACACTCTGTTGAAGTCTGTGAAAACTTTACAACTGAGCAATGTATCTGACTTTATTCTCCACATGAGAATCCACACAAGGCGTCTTTAAACTGCCATCACCAAAAAGTCTTTTATTTAAGGTAGTAAATACATTTCAGTAGTTCAGCACTTTCTCCTTGTGTCATTTCATTGTTATTAAACATAACTAATGTTTCAGACTTTTTTAATGTTTGTATTATTTGGGTTTTACCAAAATCTGGTTCAATTCCATATCAACAGCTCATTTAGAAATATTATTCCCAGGAAAAAACATGACATGTTCAATGCTTATGTTCCCCTCATACATATATGAAGGAAATAGAGCATACACGTACCAACCGGAGCCATTTTGATCACCTAAGAAGTGATTGTCTACCCAGCCGTCTGCCCTATTGCTTTATTTTCCCGTCCCTATAGATCTCAGCTTCTAAAACCTTTGATCGTTTCAATCACTTTAACACCACATTCAGTCCAAGACTGTGCGAGGAGCTTGGGTCATTACAGATAAATATTTCAGTCCTGTGAAAATTTAACTTGTTTCTTTTTGGGGTTGGCTTCAAAGAGGAACTTCAAAGGGAAGTGCCATGCCCAGGGCCATAAATTATTCATACCGAGCAACATGTTAGACTTCCAACACTTGCTTTGGCCTATTAATCGCATCACTAACACTGCACTGATCCACTCTCCCATTGGCTGGACACAACATCTGGAGCTCAGTAAGCAGCTTTCCCATTGGCTGCACACCAAAGCCACTGTATTACAATTGGCTCAGAGGTTGAGCTTCATTAAAACTACAGGAGTCTATTTCAAATGTTTCATTTGAAATGCTTTGTCAACGCTACTGCTCTTCAACAGGGTTTTCTTGTTACACAATACAAACCAGAAGAGTCAGAAAAGCAGAACGCAGTGAAAGAGTAACTGTCAGGGTCTGAATGCGAGAAATTGATTTTTTTTTAACAATAACTGATAAACCTTTAGAGACAGATCTGCTTTGAGCTATGTGGTTTTCAATTGACTACATTC